TCCAAAGGTCTCTGGAGGTGAAGAAACCAAGTGTGGCACTCAGAGAGACAGAGGAAGCCAAGTTTTTTATTATGCTGGCAGGTTCAGAGGACTTCGTACGCTGAAGTCTGAGTCCCGATTAGGGATGGAAGCAACCTTATATAGAGATCTACTGGTTTGGGGGGTGAGGCCACATACCCGGTAAGCATGCTCACAGAAGCAGAAGGATGGAGTTAATAGAACATCTTAATATCGAGTAGGAACTCATGCAGCTCAAACGGTTACATTGCTTGAACAGAATATTTTATGGCAAAAACCTTGGGGGTGGGGTAGGAACAGGCAAAGGCCTGCCCTGTTGTGCATTATTTTCTTATCAAATATACAGTAAGAAGGGATAGGGCTCTCAAGGAAGTCAGTGAAAAATAAAGACATCAGAAGTATGGTTGGAGGTACACCTGAAGAAGGCCAGACCTCAAGATCAAGATGCAATGGCCAGGTCTACATGCCTTCCTAAAGGATAAACAATAATTTAAGATTATATTGTTATTAGCACTACACGGTCCAGTAAGTCCAGATAGGCATCAGTCACATGTGTATGATGAAAGCATACAGACCCATCCTTTCCTGAAAATGTCTTTGTTCTTTCCATGTACCCTTGCTGTGTGACTTGTTTTCCTATTGGGTCAATATTATCTAAACACTTGCACTTGTATCCTATATATTGATTGTAGTTTGAGCCACATGTATTCACATTGTGACTTTTTAGTATAAATTACCCCTGACAAAGGGCTTCAGTGGCCCCCCCCATTCAAGATGCCTCCTGGATATCCAGGAGCTATTCTTCTCTCCTTATTTCCAATAAAACTCTCATAATTTCTTCCTTTGGTTCAGAACTTCATTCCTCAATGTTGTGGAACCATGAAGATGGTACATTTAACTTCTAGCAAGTCATAAGTTATATTTCTCCTATATGATTATGGCACTGGGTTCTATGTTGTTAATTGCTGCCACTGTATGCTGTTGCCAAACTCAGCTGATTTTTGCTGCTGGGCTGTGGAACTCTTCAGTGCTACAGCTCTGAGTGTTTATAGCCTTTGTTTTCCCTTGGGTACTGGGTATTGAATTCAGGCCAGCAACCTACTCTCTCCACATTACTTGGGATAGATTTACAGAATCTTCCAAGTCCACAATGATAGAATTTCTGCAAATATTCTGAAACCTACAAAATGTTTTAAAAATATGAAATAATCGCTGTCTTTTGCTTCTGTAATTTGCTTTGCTTTTTTAACAAAAATGCCCGAGGTTTCACCATTGAAGCTTAAAGGCACGTGGCCCCAATTTAAGAACATTTTTTTTTTGGTACTGGGGATCAAACTCGGGTCCTCATGCTTGCAAGGCAGGTGGCAGAACCACTGAGCTAAATCCCCGGCCTGATCCCCAATTAAAAATTAACCGAGTAATGAATGTAACTGTACTGTCTACCTAGAATGTACTAATAAATTAAATTAAAAAAAATTAACCGATGTCTCAGTTTGTAATAGTTAAAACTTGGAAACAACCCAAATGCCCATCAAGTGGAGACTGGATAAAGAGGATGTGGTTTTTCTATAAAACGGAGTACTACTCAGCCATGAAGAATGAGAAACTAGAGACATTTATAGCTAAATGGATGCACACTGAGGCTATACTCTTTGTTTTTGTTTTTTGAGACAGGGTCTCACTATGCAGTTGAGACTGCCTTGGAACTCACTATGTAGCCCAGGCTGGTCTCGAACTCACAGTGACCCTCCTGCCTCAGCCTCCCAAGTGCTGGGATTACAGGCATGCACCACCACGCCCGGCAAGGCTATACTCTTAAGTGAAATAAATAGGACACACTTGAGAAAATACCAAATAGTTTCTTTGGTGTGAAAAACTAAAAGTATAAATAAGGTTCAAATGGTATAATCGATAGTGTGAAATAGGAAGAAAATGGCTAAAGGGGAAGTGGGAAGGAGAGGGGAAAGGAAATAAGGGAAAAGAAAAAATATGAAAAATGGAAACAAAGTCTTTGTAAATAGGGAAGGGTGAAGGGAGTGAAGGGAAGGCAGGGATATGGGGAAGAATAAGAACCAAGACATAACCTGTAAAGATCCCAATGATAAATATAACTGTATTATTTGCTTTAAATGTACCAATAAACTCAATTGAAAAAAATAAAATTAACAGATGCCTGTGGTGCTAAGCTTCATCCCAGGAAAAGAACAAATGTTCAAACTAAGATAACAGTCCTTCAGCCATAAAACTTTCTGTAAACCATGCAGCTACAAAGGTGATAAGATGAAAGGAATATCACCAGTTCCTCTTTCCTAACTCTGACCCCCACCACTGTGGGCTGAAATAGCTAAAGATAAACATCCTGAAAGAAATTTCTATATCTGGGTTAACATTGTACTGTTTTCTGACCATGATTTGTGATGGGAACTGTGGGAAGCAGAATCTTATCACCTAAGACGAGGTCATGATTGTAGGACTCTTATAAAAGGCAGATTGTTACCTAGTCCAGGGTCGGTCATTTGGCACAGCTTTTGGTGCAGACCCATCCTTTGCTAGAAAAATAAACTTTTTTTTATTTTACCCACTCCTGTGTCTCTGTGTCATTTACTAGTTCCTTCTGCAACAACACAACTGAAGAACTCATGAGTAAACTTACAGAACTACCAAACAAAGCTTTGTGTGTTTGTGTCTGTGCTGCAACATGGAGGAATGATATCAGCATATAGGAAGAAGCTCTCCTAAACCGGAGAAATGTAAGAAGAATGCTGTTTATATCACATAAGCAGGCTTGTGATTGGTTCAAATTTGAGTCTGCTGACTGGTCTAAATTTGTCCTAATATAGGCCTTCTGATTTGGGCCTCTGGACTGATCCAAATTCAATATTGATGTTTGGTTCAAATTCAGGCCTGCTGTTAGACATGTTCTGGAGTCAGTGAGGGGCATTCAGGACAGCCATAGTCATCAGGGTAGCAAGGAATTTTGGGGAAAATCTGGAGAAGTTTCTTGTCAGCTGCCACATCTCTACAAAAAATACTAGTGTTTGAATTGCCAGCACATATACTAAACATGGCTGGGCTAAAATTGGGAATACAATCCCCTTGGAGGTAATAATAATCACAGCTTACTGGGGTTTGGGGATATTAATAATTGACTTGGACTCTTTCCTGCCCAATAAGGGCAGTTTCCCTGACACCTCTTCAGAGAGGCAGTAGGAGCAGGCCTTCTGTCCTGCAGCTGAAGCTCAGCCACAAAATAATCTCAGGGGTGGTGGGAGAGTAGGGAGCCAAGTAGTCCCAGTGCATCCTCAGGGAGTTGATGAGAAATGAAAGAAAGCAAAAGGGAGAGATGTGACAGATGCCAGTTGCACAATGCTCCCTTCCAGGTATCCTAGAAAAAAGGAATTCAGGTTGTTTCTGGTCTATCTCAATTGAGATAAAGATTCTCCTTTTTTCTGAGACAGGCTTTAGCTATATAGCCCAGGTAGACTCCAAACTTGAGATCCCTGTGCCACAGACTCCTGAGTGCTGGGATTAACAGGTTTGGATCAGCAATGAAGTTTCTTGTTCTCCTTAGAATCTGTTTTATGGTGAATTATGTCTTCTACTTGGTTGCAAATATTTAAAGGTATTGCTTGATTCTCTTTTCACACAACTGTGATTGCTTTATAGCTTTGTTCTTTTAATGCTACCTTTAGTTAGGGCATAAGTAATCTGCTAGCCTTTTGTTAAGAAAAGGCATCCTAACTTTCTCCATCCCTCTGTGTGTACATAACGTAAGAGTTGAATTTCGGGGTCTACCACTGAGGGTATAGGGTCTACCACTGAGGTTCACTTCCAGCTCTTTCTTTTTAGATTTTTCTGGAATGTTCTTTGTTTGGTTTTCAGTGCTAAGGACTGAAACCAGGACTTTCACACAGAGCTGTTTCCAATCTTTTTCATTTGGAGATGAGATTTCCTGCAACTGATAAATTGCCTGAGCTGAACTCAACTTGCAATCCTCTTGCCTCAGTTTTCTAGAGTGTTTGCTTTGTTGTTGTTGTTGTTATTTTGTTTTGTTTTGTATGGGGGATAGAACTCAAGACCCTGAGCTTGCCAGGTAGGCGCAGCGCAAGTGAGTTAAGTTCCTGACCCCTGTTTGGATATTTTATTTGTTTTTTGTTTGTTTGTTGGTACTAGGGATCGAACTCAGGACCTTGCACTTGTGAGGCAGGCGGCAGAACCACTGAGCTAAATCCCCGACCCTGGATATCTTAAAAAGAATTATGCTGTATTCTTTGAAAGTTAGAGGATTCGCCATTTAAAACAAATGTGCCTGGAAACAAATACGTTCTTAAATTTTTCAATAGCGTTAGGTCTAAAAAGATATTTTCTTAAATTAGTGAATTGTTTCTTTAAATTACCTACTTTATTTGGTTTCAAATTTGTTAGATCAGAATTGAGCAAAATATTATTTCACAAAGTTTGACTTTATGGTTCTATCCGTTTTTTCCATTCGGTTTATCAACTGTGTGCAGTTTTGCTGTCTCTACTTTTTTGGGGGTGGGGTGGGGAGTATTGGGTATCCCGGACCTTGCGCTTCGAGGCGGCGGAGGCGGCACCACTGAGCTACATCCCTGGCTGTCTCAACATTTTTTAATAAAAATTTAGTATGTTTTTGTTTTTTTTATTACTGGACTAGCCACGTTTAGCTTTTTCCTTTAATTCCTTAACGTTTGCTTTTCTATCCAGTAATTTTTTTCTTTTCTCATAGCCATGTTTTATTTCCCCCTAAATCTTCATTTCAATTATTTCCATTCTCTTTGCTCACTACTAATGTGCCGTTCTAAAATTTAGGTAAATTCAAATGGAAACAACACAACACCAACCTGCCTTTGACACACTCTCACTACCACACGCCCTTCGGCTGCGCTAGAACCGCTCCAATCACCCAGATCGCCGCAGGGCCCTCTGGGAAGCGCAGTTTCCAGCGCGAGCGGCCCGCTGGGAAATGTAGTTCTGCGCAGCCACTTCCGCTGTTGGGCCTTGTCCGCCTGGGCGCTGTGACATCCACGGAAAGAGCTAGTGAAGCGAGTGCGGGAGGAGAGGTAGGGTGTGCCTTGGTATCCACTCCAGTCAATCGGCGACCCTCTTCAAACTGGGTGGGTAAAGGTGCTGAGGCAGGACCCAAGCGCATGCGCCGCCCGGCCAGGGCGGTGGGGGCAAGGCGGAGGCGGGGTCCGCGTGCTCAAATGTGGTCGCTGCGGGAAGTTTAGGGTGGATGTGGCAGAGGTGGACTACGAATTGGTCGATGCAAGGACAGTGTAGGGTTGGGTCATGGAGCAGCTGAAAATAGCAGCCCGAGGCTTGGGAGAGGCTTGAGAGGTTCGGAGGGTAGGTGAGGGAATTAGCGATCTGGGCGGGCCCTTTGGGCCAGTTTTGTAGATTTGTAGGATAGCGTGTCTGAGAGGGCGGGGCGAGAGTGTGTGCTATTGGGAATTTATTTGTGCGAATCAGGACTCTGGAGGTCATTGATGGAGATGTCTTTGTAACCCTGTGTCCCGTGAAAAGACTCACTGCAAGACACTCTCCTCCACCTTATGACATAGATGAATCTCAAGGATGCCCCCAACGGTTTCCCTATAACAGACCCCCCCAAAAAAAACTTCCTAGCAGTTTCAATCTTTGCCTCATGGGATATTAACGGAGCAGCTTGTGCCCACTCATCAGCTCCAACAACAACAAAACTTGTTAATCAAGCCTTGATTAAGTTTCTTTACTTCCTGTTGTTCCTTGAACCTTGGTCTATGTACAGTTTCTCATGAAAAAGGGCAGAGATTTTTTTTTTATTCACTCTCTGGTTATCTCACTTCTTATACCACTTCTCCATGCCTGGTTCTTTCTGATTTTTTTTTTTTTTTTTTCTGGATATGGAACTCAGGACCTTGCACTTGCAAGGCAGGCGGCTGGTTTTTTTCTGATCTTGATTCTTCCTGTAATATAAAAACCCTCTCTGTTTTGCAGAAGTGCTTGCACCTACTTCTGAGGGCCTCAGTGTGTTCCCTTCTTTCTTTCTTTCTTTTTTTTTTTTTTTTTTTTTTTTTTTTTTTTTTGAAGCAGGGTCTCACTATGTAGTTAAGACTAACCTGGAACTCACTATGTAGCCTAGTCTGGTCTCAAACTCGCAGCAATCCTCCTGCCTCAGCCTCCCAAGTGCTGGGATTATAGGCATTGCACCACCATGCCCAGCTCAAGTGTGTTCCCTATTGTGTAGTTCTCCTCCCCCTGTTGCAACAGTCCTTTATCCCGTCCTCCTAACCCTCAATAATCCTTTGGAATTAAATATTTTCTTATTCTGGATTTACTTGCCAGTTAAATGGCTGCTGTTTCCATGGAGTGAGAAGCTAAGTGGCCTGTGCTGGTGGTGTTGAGGTTCTTCTCTAGGCCTGTTTAGGAGTCTTGTAATTGAGATATCTTAGATTGGGGCACTGTACCAGGGTATAAGTTAGTGGTTGTTTGGTCTGATGGAATTGTGAGAGGTCAGTGGGGTTAGTAATTGGAGTTGCTGGAAGGGTTTGAAGTACCAGTGTTTGTGCAAGGTGTTAAGAGAGCCTATGGGGTTGTCAGGGAATGGTAGTTGATCGTGGAGTGGATTAGAGAATAGGGCTTGGTATACGGGTGAATTCTTGCAGGCCCTGTGGGATAAGGCATTGGGGATTCTTTGGGATTTGTAGGCTAATTTAAATGGTCTTTGGCAATAAGAGATAGCAAGAATGAAGATGTCAATGATGGTGGCTATGTAAGAGTATTGATTGGGGAACATGTTAAGATGTGAGGTTACCCATAGGAGAAAGGGATTGGAATCTTTGGGAACCTTTTGGGACTCAGTGTTTGGGGATTGCAGTGACTTAGTTCTAAACAGGGGATGGTCTATGGAGATTGCTTTGGGGAACTCTTTTTTTTTTTTTTTTTTTTTTTTT